ATCACACGTTGTCACAGCAACACGAGACTGCTCGTCCTCCTTATGAAAATGTCTATATTTGTAACTTTTCTTGCTTAGATCGTGTTTAAGGGGATGATTCATCACTACAGATCTTGTTCATGAGTGTCACACTATGTATATAAAGTATATACAGTTATATTCACAATCAGACTGTGTGATGGAGGTGTCAGGTTGTTGGCAACGAGTGTCGTACGCCGTTGACATGGGACGTTGCAGAGGCCTTCCTGATAAATCTAGAACATTGCTGTCGGCGAATTGTATGACCTTTGACTAACGTTCGGACCAAACTAGGCTTTGCGTATTTTGATGAAGTGGTAATTGTCTATGACCTGTGTGTCCCTATGGTCCTTCCTCCACAATAGGGGGCATGGATGGCCCAGATGTCTAAGGCGCCGTGCAGAGTTGCGTCCCTTGGACACGCCAGAATCCTATGATCATATATACCCTTGCTCGGGGGTTTCACCAAATTGGTCATCGTCTAAAACGTCCCTCCCCTTCCATCGTACCTTTTTTGTCGGCTCATTTTTAAGTGTGTGCTGAGCTCACTTGCTTGTGATTGTAAATTACCCTATATGCGCGCACTTTGGCTCCTCTGTGCGCGTAGACCGCCTCCGTGGTCTAGTGGTAGAGCGTCCGCCCGGAGAGCGGAAGGTCCGGGGTTCGATCCCCGACCGCGTCATACCAAAAGACGTTAAAAGATAGTGCTGGTTGTTACCCTGTCTGGCGCTCGGCATTAAGGGGCTAAAACAAGGACTGGTCGGTTCGGAGTCAGTATACTGTGTCTGAGTGGGGTATTCATGTTAAACTGCGGCATGGTATCTCAGTGAGCTAGCACTATAAATCGGCATCAGTCCGGACTAGTACAAGCAGCCACACAAACACACACACGTACATGCACGTCGCTATATAAGTGCAATAATCTTGGACGCGACGTTAAACCCCATTTCACCTCACCTCACCTCACCTCTGTGCACGTGCGTCACGTGCTGTTCCCGCGTGATCTTAAATTTCATTGTGATTGGATGTTGCGTGCGGATGCAACGCCATGGTATTATTAATCCACACCTCAACGAAAGCTTCATTGAAAACATTAGTTCCTCTATAAATGTCGGTAGTATCGATGGATCCTTTTACTAGCTTCAAGCTCAGAACTTTTGACAAGTTAATCATGTTGCATTCTCCTAAATTATTCGGATGTATAGAACCAAGCTGTTCTAACCCTTTAAAATTCAAAGTAAGAATTCTTGTAGCGCTTGTGCGAATTAGAAGCCTCGTTTTGATGTGAAATGCGAGATGTACTGGCGTCATACAAGGACAGAAATAGGTACCATTTGCGTCAATTTCTATATTTATATTAACTTCCAATTTCATGAAATTATGTTCTTCAGATATATCGTGCTGGAAAAACGATGGACATTAACATCCGCTGCAAATAATGAAATATGTTCAAAGTAGGCCATACGACTACAATACCAGTGATATATCGAATGCTCTAGGGGGCAAATATTTGGGGGGCAATAGGAACACCCTGACCACACACGTGCTCTCAGCCACTGATTGCAGGATGCATATGACTTGTTGCAAAACAATTCCTTCAGTACACTCGTGGACGAAAGAAACATCCTAATAAATTGATGTAGCGCATTGTGACAAAGGACATTTGAAATTGATTTTCTTTCAACGCATGCGAGTTGTATGGTGGCCGAGAGGGGTTATCCTTTCTCGCCTTCAGTTGTGGCCGCGAGAAAGCGATAAAGCGATAACACGAGACGAGAAAGCGATAACACGAGACGAGAAAGCGATAACGGGAGGCGAGAAAGCGTCCCTCGTCTTGTGTTATCGTTTTTTCTCGGTAAAGCAATATCCCCTTATGGGAAATATCGCATTCTCGCTCTGTCCATTTCTTGCTTTCTTGCTTTCTCGCTTTTTCTCATGACTGATTAACCATAGTTATATGAAAGAATCGGGTGTTCTAGAAACTTCTTTTGAAAAGAGCATATTTAGATTATTGCCATGCCCCGCCACACGCGTGACAGTCCCGTGAACTTCAAAATAGGGCCATACGTCAATAAATTACTTTTAAGAAAGGACATTCCCTCAACAGGTATAATTTTGAGAGCGTCATTAACCCGTAACCCCAGACAATAGAAATTGGATGCGTTGTAAAAAGTGTTTTAGAACAGCTAATTTCTTATAATTCCTTTCAATTAAACTGTCATCGGAAATTAAATCTTATGCTAATGTGCGTGTAAACTAACTCAATACATATACACTACCCAAAACACCCACGATAATAACATTATGTTTTGCAAAACGGAAAATGAAATATGACTGGAAAATCCCGTTCGCTCGTCACGCCGAAGACCCGGGTTCGATTTCTGGTGTCCCCCGCCGTGATATTGCTGGAATATTGCTAAAAGCGGCGTAAAACCATACTCACTCACTCACTACAATTTAAACCCTCGAGTCGAGCATGATGAACCTGTGTTTGACAACATGAGCATCGATCTACGTCATCTGTGCGGTAACACACTATAAACGAGGACACAAACTGCTCAAACTGGCTTGTCGACTACCTCGCTCCTGACCTGTAGTGTAAGCGCCGCAATACACCGTGCTGCGTCGCCCACTGTAGGCTCGAACTTAAGCCTGAACCCTAATAACATAAGTACTTGATAATTAACGAAGGCATTTGACGTCTTCAAACCCCTTCGATCACTTTCATGGTGCTCACGACCGCCTCCGTGGTCTAGTGGTAGAGCGTCCGCCCGGAGAGCGGAAGGTCCGGTGTTCGATCCCCAGTCGCGTCATACCAAAAGATGGTACGTGTTGTTACCTAGTTTGGCACTTTTACGGGGCTTTTACAAGGACTGGTCGGCTAGAAGTCAGTATACAGTGTTTGAGTGGGGTTTTCATGTTAAACTGCGGCATGGTATCTCAGTGGGCTAGCACTATAAATCGGCATCAGTCCGGACTAGTACAAGCAGCCACGCACACGTGCATGCACGTCGCTATATAAGTGCAATGATATTGGACGCGTCGTTAAACCCCATTTCACCTCATCTCACGTCATGGTGCAAACGGGGGCACGGGTGGCCCAGTCGTCTAAAGCGCCGCAAGGGTTCGAATCCCGGCTCGCCCCGATTATGTTTCTAGGTTTTTCAGCACCGTGCTCGTGGGTTTCACCGAAGCGGTAAACGTCTAAGACTTGCATCACTTTGAGCTTTCCTCCCACATTAAGCTGACACGCCGTGATATAACTGGAATACTGTTAAAAGCGCCGTTAAACCCAAAACTCTCACTCACAGACATGGTGCAAACAGCCATTGAACTCATATTTGGAAAAGGCTATAGGGGAAGCAACTCTGTACAGCGACTTGACGCATACCCCAGCGATGAATGAGGATCATTAATTTTACTATATGGTGAACTAACCCTTGAGGCTATGGAAGTAGATACATGGGGGAATAGCGTCTTACGCCTTTACACAATAACAGATAATATCAGTACTAATATAGATAATATTCATCTTGTGTCACAGACATGATCATTCTTACATTTTATCTCGTGGAAGCGTGGAAGTGTAAGAAAGAAAAAGAGGTTCGTCCGTCATTTGAACATGTGTGATCATTTCCATGCCAATATGTTCCGCAACTTTCTATTTTGACTTTTCCAGGGGGCCAAATAGGCCCCAATCCTATAAGACCACGACCGGCTACAACTTCCGACATTTGACTCCAGCACCTAATTTCCCTGGGATTGCCGGCAGCCTCTCCACCTACTGCGTCGTACTGGTCAAACTAAACCCAACTATCTCTTACAGCAATATGCGACTCAAAATGTTTGATGAATGAATTTGACAGGGACGTGTATATTACAATGTAATGACGTCATACAGGTACTTCCATTACAACGTAATGACGTCATATGCCGTCAGCAAGTATCTCACCCTGTAATTTTTCTGACAATAACAGTCTTCTGTCCGATCTATTGGAAGCACAAATACCATAATTTGGCAGTAACTTGTCTGCTCAGGAAAACAAACCTATCTCGTTACTTAGTCAAATACCATAATAGAACTAGTGTTTATTGTGTTTAAGAAACATATTTCCTGTATATATGCTTGATAAGAAAGGTTGAACACATATAGGCTGTTCGACACACGTCGCCGCGATGGTTGCAATGACAAGCCAGTACAGAAACTCTGACGTAGAGGGTAGCAATATAAGGGAGGTAACTCCAACAGTCAACCTGTCCTTACATGACACAACGTTCAAACCGAATGACGCGTTCGAAACGAGCGTAAAAGTGCAAACAGTTTTGTTATTTGTTTGTTTGTTGTTTACCGCCGCACTCAGCAATAGTTCAGCTATATGACTGCGGGCTGTAAATAATCTAGTCTGGACCAGACAATCCAGAAATTGACATCATGACCATCGATCTTCACAATTGGGATACGATGAAATGGATCAACGAAGATAGCCAATCTCATTAAAATCAGATCTTAGTTCTCGCTAGCGTGAGGCTTTGTTTAGCGACAGCGAGAACTTAGATCTGATTTTGATAAGATTGCCAAGACAGCGATCCTGAAACACCGATCTTGTTACTCGCGTCTCACGACAGGAATAGTTGCCTTTTAAGGCAAGCATGGGTTGCTGAAGACCTATTCTAACTCGGATCTTCACGGGTTGCAAATAGTCTTGTAAATATGTTTAAGACATGAATTGCTTGATTGGTAAATTGGATGTGTTTGCCATCCTGAATAAAGGTTTTCCTTCATATAAACTATTCTTACCCGTTGCCTGAACACTGCGTTGTAAAACTGTCAAACCCATCGTCTCTCCCCTTTCTAATTATACTCCGAAACGTTACGTTAAATTATAAACTTATTCCCGTAAATTATTCCTACAAAGCGTGTCATATCGTTAACGCCTGGAATTTATGGCATATCACGTGGCTGTGTTCTCACGGTTCGTGTTTTAAACAGATAAGGCTCTGACAGTCTGCTCATAACGATAATCTATCATCAACAACAATGACCGATTTGGCGATCTCCGCGCTGGCAGTGAGTTGTTGTATCGGTATGTATGCAAACATTGTACACTGTCAATAGGCTCACTCAAATCGCCCTTTAAGCCAATAATACAAATCTCTGGTAATTTATTCTGTTTATTCTGATTTCCTGGCATGGACTCAGTTCTTCCTGTGGGAAACATATGTCTGGATATAGGGTTTTGACACAGCCACAGCTCTCTCCACGAGAATAATGTGCGCATTTATTATACAGGGTCTGTCTCATAACTCGTTCTGTAAAAAGATTGTCTTCATCAAACTTGCAATGTCTGTCCAAATAAGATGTAATTCCAATTGCATTAAGTTTGTTTAAGTTCGCTTTACGGTGACACTGTAGTAGTAGTAGTAGTAGTAGTAGTAGTAGTAGTAGCTGTAGTAGTAGTAGTAGTAGTAATAGCTGTAGTAGTAGTAGTAGTAGTGGTAGTCGTAGTAGCTGTAGTAGTAGTAGTAGTAGTAGAAGTAGTAGTAGTAGTAGTAGTAGTAGTAATAGTAGTAGCAGTAGTAGTAGTAGTTACCCGTGAAAATCCGGGGTAGAATAGGTCTTCCGCAACCCACGTGCTTGCCGTAACAGGCGACTATGTTTGTGGATCGGGTGGTCAGGCTCGCTGACTTGGTTGATGCATGTCATCGTATCTCAAATGCGTGGATCGATGCTCATGATGTCAATCGCTGGTCTAGACTGGATTATTTACAGACTTCTGTCATGTAGCTGAAATATTGTTGAGTGCAGCGTTAAACAGCCAACCAATAAACAAAGTAGTAGTAGTAGTAGTAGTAGTAGTAGTAGTAGTAGTAGTAGTAGTAGGAGTTTGTTTATTAAAGTGTCACACCTACTTGTGCACGTAAAATATGTTTAGAAAAAAACATACATATAATATACCGTGCGTTCAGCTATTTATTGGCTTATGAGATACTAACACTTTGTACACATATAGGATGCATTAAAATATTAATTTATAACAGCTTTAACGTCAAATATGTTATAACATTGTTTGCCGTTTTTTAACCCCCTTTAAAAAGTATAAAAGTTAAAAGATTTAGAAGTTTAAAATCATTCATAAGAAAAATAAATTGACCAGTAAGACCAGTTACCAACGTCATCTTTAGCAACCATAACGAGAATAGCGTCTGTGACATCGGCTCAATAAGATCTACAGCCATCAACACATACCTCCCTGAGAATTTGTTTTTCTTTAACCCACATTTATTATATTTTTTGCTGATTATTGCTGATTAGTTTGTTCATGATAAATGTTCCATTGTCTTCCTTGTTTAAAAAGTGCCCCATACAGACGTGACGTCATATCAACCCATTATCGCAAACAATGGAAAACGATGTCATCCATTGTACATGACGTCACAATAGAGATTTCAACACGTGTCTGTCAAATACATTTTATCTTACAAAATGCTGTTTCGAAACGTACATAACGAGCGAAGAATTGTATATATATCCAGACTCGATATTTACAGACCGCCGTCATACAGCTGGAATTTTGCTGACTTCGTCAATCAAACAGACAAACAAATACTGTGCATAAATTGTAATATTAGCAGAAGCAACGTGCTGGCATAACGGTAACGTAACATCTTGTTTGAAGGGCCACGTGACACATGCTGATTTACAATGCATTGTTATAACACTCAAATAACAAGGCTGTAACTCTTATAGCCAGATGGTAATATCTGCTCATATTCCCTACTGGCTGGGGGTGGCTGGGTAGCCAAGTGGTTAAAGCGTTCGCTCCTCGTACCGAAGACCTGGGTTCGATTCCCCACATGGGTGCAATATGTGATGCCCATTTCTGGTGTCCCCCGCTGTGGTATTGCTGGAACATTGCTAAAAGAGCGAACGCTTTAACCACCAGGCTACCCGACCACCCCGTGGTACAGCGCGGGGAAGTATTGCTGACTAAGGCGGAAAACAATATTCACTCACTTACTTCCCATATGTGTTCAACTCGTCGTGTTGTTTTACGCCGCAGTCAGTACTAGTCCAGCTCTGTCGCATTGGTTTGTTTATAAACTGCCTGCCAAAAGAAAGCTTTACCTTTAAATTGGATTTGACCCAAAAGTTATCAAAACGATATAGCCTGAAAACAGTCACCGAAACACTGCAAACTTCCAAAACACAACTTTGATACGCATGTCACATACATCACCATCGAAAAACCATTTCTTGTTTGTTTCATTTTTAGCCGCCATAAGACTATCTTTTTCCCTGCAGTTTAGTCGAATCTGGGTTCATAGTCAGGCTCTAGAGTTTCAAAACGATATCAGCGCTACGACTATCGTTAATGTTAATGTGGGCGCACGGGTGGCCAGTCGCCTGAGGTGACACAGTTCGCTGTGCACATTTGCGTCCCTTGGGAAAGCCAGAAACTTATGAATGTGGGTTCGAATCCCGGTTCGCCCCGATTATGTTTCTAGGTTTGTCAGCACCATACCCGTGCTCGTGGGTTTCACCGAAGTGGTAAACGTATGAGACCTGCAACACTTCGGGCTTTCCTCGCACATTAAGCTGAGACCCCTTGTTTAACTGAAATATTGTTCAAAGCGGCGTTAAACACAACTCACTCACTAATGTTAATGTAGGGAGTTACGGGAATCGGATCCCTATGGCCGTTTAGAAAAGCTAATGCCTTAACCTACTCCTCTCCGGGTAAGATGAAAAACAGTCAGCGAAAAGGGGAGCCACCTGGTACCCATTTCGTTGGCCCTTGGAAGCATGGGATACAAGGTTGTAATGACCTATAACTAGAGTGAGTGAGGAGTTGGGTTTAACGCCGCTTTTGACAGTATTCCAGTTATATCGAGGCGTGTCAGCTTAATGTGGGAGGAAAGCTCAAAGTGACGCAGGTCTTAGACGTTTACCACTTCGGTGAAACCCACGAGCACGGGTATGGTGCTGACAAACCTAGAAACACAATCGGGGCGAACCGGGATTCGAACACACAATCATAGGTTTCTGGCGTGCCCAAGGGAAGCAACTCTGCACAGCGAATCGCGGCGCCTTAGACGACTGGACCACCCGTGTCCCCTTCCTCGATTAAACGCCGGGTAGTTTTTATACACAGAATTTATCCTTATTATCATCTTAGCGATTAAACACCGTCGATAAAGATTGTCTGAAAGAAATATACTTCCGGCGTTCAGTCGAGGAAATACGGTATATCACACTTATCTTGACTTGTATTTATAATGGAGCAGTTTAGAATTTTGATATAGGATAAAATAGATTTGTCCAATCATTATGCATGGGAAATGAAAGACATATTTGGTTTATTCGACATCAAACATTGAGCTGTCCCCTAACACTGCAATAACCAATATTTTCCGTTCTCCCCGTAGTGTTGTCGCACGCAGCAGTAAAGACGTGCACACACAACGGCGCGACGTACGACCTCGGCGACTCCTGGGTGGCTGACGACAGCTGCAACGGATGCGACTGCACCGACTTCGGCACGGAATGTGGCTCTCATCTCAACTGTGACAACAACAGTAAGGGCCAGCCAGTTGATATACTACTCCTTGTTGAGATATATATATATATATCCCATGATATACAATAAGTGAGTATGATTTTACGCCGCTTTTAGCAATATTCCAGCAATTTCACGGCGTGGGACACCAGAAATGGGCTTCACACATTGTACCCATGTCGGGAATCGAACCCGGGTCTTCAGTGTGACGAGCGAACGCTTTAACCACTAGGCCATCCGACCACCCCTGATATACAATAAGGATTCTCATCCTTATATGCCAAGTGTATGGGTAAATATATGGACATATCTGATTATCCCTATCAAAAGGTGAGTGGTATATTTTAGGGAGCTGGGGGTTTGTTAGTTTCAGTCAGCGCTTCCAAACATACAAATCTTTTCACTGATAGGAAGAGCCCACACCACAGTATTTTTCAGACAATCCAGCGCAGTGGACGATTTTGTGTGTTTAAATGCGGACAAAAAAAAAGATTTTTTTCAGCATTTTGTGTGTCGTTAAAATTAATCTTTCGCACACCACTTTTCTGTTTTACGGAAGCCTTTTAGGGCCATTTGCTTTTCTATTTTATTCTTGAAATTTCAAAACACTTGGTTGAAATTTCAAGAGGCTAGTTTCTAAGATTCACAACAACCTGTTCACAGCCTGCCTCCACCAGTGTAATGAACTAACAAACCATGCACACAATTCCGAGGTAGCTGATTATCTTGAAATTTCAACTCAATATCTTCACATTTCAACACAGCATCTTGAAATTGCAACATTAATGGTCTCGCGAAGTTATAAAGAAATAATGAAATAGCAACTGATCTAAAAAGGTTTCCGTAATGTTTGGCGACTCAAGTTATTAAATTCATGAATCGGCGCAAAACCCCAATTCATACAAGCGCCCGAATTAAAGTAAATATCACCATGATTTGTTTACATATTATTTCAGAAATAATGACCCATCAAATCTTAAAACAATTCTTTGCAAAAATCAAATTTCGTCGCGTGATGATAGGCGTAATGGTTGAAGGCTGATTCCATCGTTCCTGATCTTCCAGGATGAACGTAAGCAGTATTATTCCATCTCCAAACGTACAGCACTTGTGAGCGGGAATTAAGACAGATTCTATCACTTCTGGAGGAGCGGTCGGGTAGCCTAGTGGTTAAAGCGTTCGCTCGTCACGCTGAAGACCCGGGTTCGATTCCCGACATGGGTACAATGTGTGAAGTCCATTTCTGGTGTCCCCTGCCGTGATATTGCTGGAATATTGCTAAAAGCGGCGTAAAACCATACTCACTCACTCACTGTCAGTTCTGGTCATCCTTTTCACGCATTGTTTTCGTAACATGGAAGTCATTGTTTTCTGTTTGTTAAAATAACATGAAATGCTACAAATAAAAAAAAGTAAGAAAAAAGAAATGTGCTTCACACATTGTACCCATGTGGGAATCGAACCCGGGTCTTCGTCGTGATGAGCAAACTCTTTATTTCATCTCCAAAGGTACACAGGGGCGGTCGGGTAGCCTAGTGGTTAAAGCGTTCGCTCGTCACGCCGTGATATTGCTGGAATATTGCTAAAAGCGGCGTAAAACCATACTCACTCACTCACTCACTCCAAAGGTACAGCACTCTATCAGTTTTGGCCATCATGTTATACACTCTTTTTGTAACATGGGAGCCATTTTTTACTGTTTGTATAAATCATATGAAATGCAACAACTGAACATTATGAAAATAAAAAATACAATTAATATAGGACCAACACGAGCACATTTATCAACCACCTAAAATATTACTTGCTCATTTTGTTAGGCGTGTTTTGATCAACCATAGCCCTGATGTTTTCAATCTGTTCGTTTCTCTAAAGAATAGCTGCCAAATCACTCCCCCACAGAAGATCCGGATTAGAATTAGTGTTCAGCCACCCAAGTCGTAAGCTTGTGGTAGAGCGTCCGCCCGGAGAGCGGGAGGTCCGGGGTTCGATCCCCGACCGCGTCATACCAAAAGACGTTAAAAGATGGCACTTGTTGTTACCCTGTCTGGCGCTCGGCATTAAGGGGCTAAAACAAGGACTGGTCGGCTCGGAGTCAGTATACTGTGTCTGAGTGGGGTATTCATGTAAAACTGCGGCATGGTATCTCAGTGAGCTAGCACTATAACTCGGCATCAGTCCGGACTAGTACAAGCAGCCACACAAACACACACACGTACATGCACGTCGCTATATAAGTGCAATAATCTTGGACGCGACGTTAAACCCCATTTCACCTCACCTCACCTCACCAAGTCGTAAGAGGCGACTAACGGGATCGGATGGTCAAGCTTGCTGACTTATTTAATGCACGTCATCGTATCCCAGTTGCATAGATCAATTCTTGTGATGTCAATCACTGGATTGTCTGGTCAATACTCGAATATTTACAGACCGCCGTAATATAACTGGAATATTGCTGTGTGCGGAGTTAAACAACAAACAAACCAAATCACACGTATGGCACGTTGAATGTTTGTTTTTTTGTTTGTTGTTTAACGCCGCACTCACCATATTTTGGCTATATGACGACGATCTGCAAATAAGACAAGACAATCCAATGATTGGCATCATGAGCATTGATCCACGCAATTTGGATCGATGAAATGTATCAACCAAGTCAGCGATCCTGACCACCCGATCCCGTTAGTCGCCTCTTGCGACAAGCATAGTCGCCTCTTATGGCAAGCATGGAGACCTATTCTACCCCGGATCTTCAAGGGTCGGCACGTTAAATGTGGGTGAGGGTGAGGTCAGGTGAAATGGGGTTTAACGTCGCGTCCAAGATTATTGCACTTATATAGCGTCGTGCATGCACGTGTGTGTGTGTGTGTGTGTGGCTGCTTGTACTAGTCCGGACTGATGCCGATTTATAGTGCTAGCTCACTGAGATACCATGCCGCAGTTTAACATGAATACCCCACTCAGACACAGTATACTGACCCCGAGCCGACCAGTCCTTGTTTTAGCCCCTTAATGCAGAGCACCAGACAGGGTAACAACAAATACCATCTTTTAACGTCTTTTGGCTTGACGCGCCCGGGGATCGAACCCCGGACCTTCCGCTCTCCGGGCAGCCGCTCTACCACTAGACCACGGTGGGGGTGTAAAACGTACTGACTACAACACAACCCTATCAGGAATGGTGACCATAACAATACCCTTTTTATCATCGTAGATCTTCCAGACGCATCACTTATTCTGGTTGTAGTTCTAAACATGTTAAAAATAACCGAAATAGTTAAATGACCCTTCTAAGCTAAAATTACTTTCAGATTTCACAGTCATTAATTTGAGCAGATAATACCACACATCCGTGTGATATACGGATGGTTTTAATGTCAATGTTGAATCTGAAGACAGATTTAGTAGGCGACCGCAGCTAATCATAGAACACGTGGCCTCTGTGTCAGAAATATATAAGACAAGCACGTGAGTGGGTGAATGATGCTGTACACCACAGTCCACTGTGACATGGTCACGCGTGTTCCAATCGAGTCTGGGTCAGACAAACGTGTGGTTAACATCATGAGTACTGATTTGCGCTGTTGGGCTACACTGGTGCAGTCATAAAGCCTGGTCACTGATTCAAGTGAGGATCAGGGCCCACACAAAACTAATATTTAGTCCCTGTGTATATTTTCACTGGATTGTCTGGTCCAGACGCGATTTTTACATATCGCCGTCACAAAGCTGGATATTGCTAAGTGCGGCGTTAAACAACAAACAAACATTCTAGACTTAAGTTGGATATCGGAGGAAAACCCGAAGTGAGGCAGGTCTCAGACGTTTACCATTCGTGACCAACTCGTGTTATTCCGGGACAAGCCGATTAGCAGGTTACGGAAAGGGGCGAGTGGTGACGAATGAGACGTTTACCACTTCGGTGAAACCCGTGAGCACGAGTATGGTCCGAGGCGAACCGGGTTACGAACCCACAATCATAGGATTCTGGTGTGCCCAAGGGACGTAGCTCTGCACAGCAGTAGCCTTAGAACTGTTGCTTACAACAAACGACCTTGATACCCCCCTGAAGAATCGGGTTAGAATTTGTCTTCAGCTCCCCATGCTTGTCTTGGAGTAAATGAAAGGGGAAAGAGCTTCACAAGTGATGTTGAGCTACACATTCAGTTAGTTAATGCACGCTCAAATACAAAGGGGGCTTGGTTTAATATCTCAGTAATGAACCAACACGTGTTTCACTGTCTGCGCCTCATATTTTTACCTGATCAAATGTGTTCACCGAACGAATGTGAAATATCTACTTACATCAGAATATATGTGCCATTGACATATTAAATGTCGTTCACCTTAAAAAAATCAATCTGGATATTGCCTAAATATTAATATGCATGTTCGTATCGTAATCAAAATTACGATTAAAAAAAAACACAACAAGATTGAGGTGATGGTTGGTTGATTATTTTTAGCGTAATTAGGATGTAAGTATTGGTTGACCTTGAACTTGAAACTTGAGTGGCAAGCGCATTCTGAAAATAGCACGCGACCTGTGTATCAGAAAGGGGCGTATGAAATGTTCTGGCGTTGAGTATTCAAGTTCAAAGAATAAAAAACGATGTTTCTTTTTAAAACTGACTGACAATGAGAAAAAACAACCATTTTTCACCCCAGACGGCGAGAATTATGCATTCAATAATGTGTCGTGTGTAACATTAATATCTCGGAGAATACACTGAATGTGTCATATCGTGTCTCCACAATGAATTAAATATAAGAAATATATTTTTAGATATATGTGGGCTGAAATGTGCCAATTACTCAGATGCGGTTCACGTATATATCGGTCTTCCTCTTTTGACCGTGACAAAGTAGGGTTGTGACGTGTTTGTCTCATGTTACAGTAAGGTTGTGACGTGTTTGCCTCATGTTACAGTAGGGTTGTGACGTGTTTGTCCCATGTTACAGTAGGGTTGTGACGTGTTTGTCCCATGTTACAGTAGGGTTGTGACGTGTTTGTCC